ACTGTCTTCAGATGTACAGAACTGAAATAATCCAGCAATGCTGGTTGTGATATGTAAGTACTGTATGCCGAAGGAAACAAGGGAGACTCCAACCACCAGCAGATCCAGCAAATTAAAGTAATTTCTGCAGAAAGCTCCTTTGTGAAGGAAAGCACCAAACGCAGTCATCTGATGAACACAACAAAGACGGGTGAACTAAACTGCTTGAAGCTAAAGGAATTCTTTCAGATTATATTTATTACAGAATCAGTTATCAATAAAATTGATAGTAAAACTGAATTGGGTTGTGAATTCCTGTCCAACTCAATAACTCCAAATAAGAAACTAGTAAAGCACATCTTTATAAACTAGAACAGGTGAGAGAGTTATAATCACATTGTATAGTGTGCAGATGGAAATAAGACAGGATTCTTTACCTTCAGCAAGATCTCCACAGTAAATATAGCAGTGAAGGCATAGTCAAAATAACCAAGAACCTGTACAGAGCAACGTGACACACAAAGAAATGAGAAAGTTCAAGTTATTTTATTTCTACAGCTCCTTCACAATCCATGTTGTTTCAAAGCATTAATATCTAAAGCCATTTAAGTGACCAGCCAAATGGGACAAGGGACAATGGGACAATTGAAGGAAAAAATATCTTGAGAGGAACCAGACTCAAGAGGAGCCCATCATCCACTGACATTACAATGTGCATATGCTAAATATTATCTAGTCATTGCGATCTAGTTAATAGACATGTTAAATTCAATATGGTGTTAAACCTGATTAAGGTTTATACTATCATGTGTTCACTGAATCAGTGAAATGATTCAGTAGGTAAACAGTGAATCTGCATTTGAAGCTTCTTGTGAATTCCCATTTGGAAATCATTAATCCTTCAAACTGTGAACATGAAGAAAATCAGGTAACAAAAGAATCTAGTGCATGAGTCTAACTGATGCTGCATAATTAGATCTTGTGTTTAAAGAAGAAATTCCCCATATTTGTGTATTTTATGCTATTAAAAAGAACAAATTTTCTTGGCTGTCTTACAATGTTTCGTGCAGAGAAGTTACGGATGGGGTCCTCGGCTGCCAGCGAGACGGCGCTCAGCATGATGAAGATGAGGATGAGATTGGTGAAGATCTGATGATTGATGAGCCGATGGCATGCCACACGGATCCTGCGTTACAGACAGAGATCAGACGGACAACAGTGTGTGAGAATGAACAATATGGCAGTCCAAAAGATGTTTTTGAAACGCCTTGTAAAAAAGAAGCGTTCTTGTTTGTATTAGAGGTGTGTATTTGTAATGTACTTCTAATCTTAAAAGTATACTTGAAGGTTATGTAAAAATAATAAAATATAAGTCTACTTAAGTGTACTTAAACTAAACTTGCACTTCAAAAAACTAAACTTTGTAATAGTGTCAGATTGAAAGCATTAAAGTACATTTAAATCAGTACTTTAATAATCTTTTGTTGTGCTTGTATGTAAAAGAGCAGCGTGAACATTCTGCTAAACATCTGCTCTTGTAACCACTGAAAAAAGAAAGTGTTCACAAGCATATATGTATATCCCTTATTTGTTAACAAATGGTTCTTGTTCTCTTCTTTTCTGCATATTTACAGTGCCTTGTGAAAGTATTCATACCCCTTTATTTTTTTCACGTTTTGTTATGTTGCTGCAATAATGCCAAAGGAAAAATAGAATTGTCACAACTTTGTAAATCTCTTCTTTTTTTTTATAGAAAAAATAAGTACATTGCATAAGTATTCATACCCTTAACTCAGTACTTGGTTGAAGCACCTTTACAGTCTCAAGTCTTTTTGGGTATGATGCAACAGGATTTGCTCATCAGCATTTGGCAATTATCTGCCATTCTTCTCCTCGTCTCTTCACCTCGCAAACTCTGTCAGGTTGGATGAGGGCCGACAGACAGGTTTCTCCAGAAATGTTTGATTGCGTTCAAGCCCGGACTACATGCTTCTGTGAACCTTCAATGCAGCAGAATTTTTTTCTGAACTCTTCCCCTGATGTGTGGTTTGATGCAATCCTGTCTCTGAGCTCCACAGGCAGTTTTTCTGACCTCAAGTCTTGTTCTTTGCTCTAATATGCATTTCCAGCTGTTAGACCTTTTATTAAGATGTGTGTGCCTTTCCAAATCATACCCATTCAATTGAATTTGCCACAGGTTAACTTCACTCAAAGTGTGGTAACATTTACAAGCAAAATGAATGCTCCTGAGCTAAATTTAAACTGTCCCAGCAACAGAATCATTTAAGTTTTTTATCTTTAATAAATATGCAAAGATGTTAAAAACCTGTTATTTGCTTTGTCATTATGGTGCATGGAGTGTAGACTGATGTGGAAAAAAAAGTAATATAAAGCAGTTTAACATAAGGCTGCAACATAACAAAACGTGAAAAAAATGAAGGGGTTTGAATACTTTCGCAAGGCACTGTGTGTGTGTGTGAGTATATACGTATATATCAATCTAATGTAATATATATTTTTAGATAGCTTTTCCCCCCAATACAATAGATGACAAAATGCTGAGTGTACTTACTAAATGGAGTTTGATAGCTTTATCAATATATACTTTTATCAATCATCAATAAACTGTTCCAGCTAAAATATGGTGAATTTATATTAAAACAAATGTTATGTTCAAACAATAACACTAGAGAACACTACCAGACTGCAGTTCCGCTGTACTGTAGTGAAACAAAGCCAAAAAGCCATCTCACTTATTGATGACATCTAACTTATTTTTTACTTGCACATTTAATTCATCTGTAAAAATAAATCTGCAAAATCATGCAGATGCACTCAAGTTTAGTCACAGTCTTTGAGCTTCTTTACCCAAAAGGACAGTAAAATTAAAAGAAAAAAAAAGTTAATTGTTAATTTACTAGAAATTCCACTTAATTTTCCCCACAGAAATGAATGGCTAACAATAGTAACCAGATTTTGTTTTCCCCTAAAAGTGCGTGGGATCTCCTGTGTCGACTGTATCTGTAGAAGCAGAGTGATGGAGAAATTGTGTTTATTTGTGTGTGATGTGGAGACTGGGGTGGGCTGGAGGGCGGATCCAAGACACTGTGGCCGTTAAGGAAAACCCCAGACCATCAGCACGATAACACAGTCTTGAGTGTCATGATAAACCTTCATCTTATAATATTAGTAATGAACCCGGTTTTTCTTTCCTTGTTGTTTGTCGCTTCACCCTCCTTCAGTGTGGCAAACCAGTGAACACTCTCACACGAGCGATACTCAACTGAACAAACTTACATATGCTATTCACAGAGCTGCACTGAAAGGCCAAGAATGCAACCATTTGGGCAAATATTTGATGTAAAAATAAGGAGGCTGGTGTAAGTGTGCTTAAAGAGAGCCAGTGAGGTGCAGAATGACCTGACGGTTGTGTATCTGTATGAAAGAACAGGAAGTGTGTGAACTCTTAGACAAACACACACTTCAAACACATACCAAACCAGTCAATATTATGATTGAGATATTTAGGCCACATATACATCCCACAAAGTGTTGAGAACGACACAACTGCATTTAAATGCTGGAGTGTATCGCTAATTGGCTTTTCTGTGAATATACAATACAGGAGGCACTTTTGAAGCAACATTAGAGTCTCATGGCTGTGAACAACAAGTATGGACGCCAACAGATGAACTTGTTTGGTGCTATTTTTGATGGAAGAAACACTAGCAACCACAGATGTATTAATGTCTGGTAATTTCAGTAACCCTCAGTCCACAGATGTGTCATGTAGAGCAACCAATAAACAACCAGTCTCAAACCAACACTTATGTTTCATTAATTCGCAATATTAACATTTGGCCTCATATACATGATCTGTCCACCCATAGAAATCCACTATACATTTGCTCTCCATTATATCCTCTGACTGGATGTTTGGTGTATTTACTCCACTATAAAGATTATCTGTGATTCACACAGCGCAGAACTGGAGCGCTGCCATGAAGGAGCCTCCCACTGAAAATACTCAGTATTAGCAGCATGTATTTTCAAACAAGCTTCAGAATGGCAGAATAACCTAACAACAAGTGTGAAGAGAATGGACTTCAGTATAAAACAAACAGAAATCTTTGTCTTATGCATTTTATCTCAAGTGCGTGTATGATTATTGCAAGTAATACTGCAGACAACTGAGTCTTACAATACTCAATACAGAAGCAGAATCTGCCAAGAAATATCTCACCAAACAAAAACGCCGAGAGCACAAAGACGTAGTCACGTGAAAAAACATAAAATTGATTCTTTTTGGATACAAAACGAATATCTTCTTAATATTATTTCACTACACTATAAACTTTCTTGTTTAGCAATTTTACAACCTTACCAATATAAATAAATAAAATAATAACACATTTCTTATATAAGTCTGCCACCATGTGGTAAGAAATAGAACTGTACATTTTGGAGAGTTCTGTGTTGCAGGACCAAAAATGTGTAATTCCTGCAGCAAAGGCAGCACCAAAAGGAATTTGAAAACAAAGAAAAAAAAACAATAGATCAAAACAAAACAAAACCCAGCAAAGCAAAGCAAAGCAAAAAAGCAAAACAAAGAGCAAAGTAAAACAAAAAAACTAACAAAAAACAGCTAAACAAACAAACAAACAACAACAACAACAAAGAAAGAAAAAACTAAACAAAAAAAATAGCGAAGCCCCCCCCCAGCAAAACAAACAAACAAAACCCCGCAAAACAAACAAACAAACAACAACAACAAAAAAGAAAGAAAAAACTAAACAAATAAACATAGCGAAGCCCCCCCCCCAAAAAAACAAAAAATAGAACACACAAACCAAAACAGGTTGAACTTACTTCCAAAAGGTTTCTCAAACAAAACAAATCTGGACATATCACAGCAAAATATTTTTAAGCAAAATATAATTTATTTTTTATTCCTTTTAGGGTGAAATCTGACTCAGACGTGCTCTTCTTTTGTTTTGTGAAATTCAGCCTGAAAGTCCTACCTGGATTGGCCTGCCATCCTCTGCTCCGATCATGTTCCTCCACTCCAGCAGAGAGCGCTGCAGGTTGTCCAGGCCTGTTTCCCATAGTCTGACGTAGCCTCCCATGTCCACAGTCACCACCCCACCAGAGCTCAGAGGAGCCATCACTACATCTGTGTCTGAGACCTTTGAGATCCACACGGTGTATGGAGACATCGAGCTGCTCCTGAACACATCAGACATTGATCAGAACCACTGAAAGACATTCAGCTGCCTTACATGAAGCTTTTAAAACAACAAAAATAAACTGAAAAATCATCAGGGTCAGATTAACATATTAGGGCTAGAAGGTGTTAAAAGTATCTGAAGCCAAAGTACAAAAATACAGACGTGTCAGAAGCCAGAGCACAAAGTTAGGTAATCAGGTAAAAAAATTTAAGGAATAGTTCACCCAAAAATGAAAATTGGCTGAAATGTTCTCACCATCAGGCCATCTAAGATGTAGATGAGCTTGTTTTTTTTTTTATCAGAACAGATTTGGAGAAATGTAGCATTGCATCACTTGCTCACCAATGGATGCTCTGCAGTGAATGGGTGCCGTCAGAATGAGAGTCCAAACAGCTGATAAAAACATTACAGTAATCCACAAGTAATCCACTCCACTCCGGAACATCAATTAATGTCTTCTGAAGCAAAAAACTGCATGTTTGTAAGAACCAAATCCATTGTTAAAAGATTTAAACAGTTGCTTTCCACCAAAATATGAGTCCATAATCCATAAAAAATGCTTCTTCCAATATCTCCTGTTGCCCTCTCATATTAAAAACCATCAACATATTTGTTTGGAACTGTTTTGACTTGTATGCTTGATCTGTGCATATTTCTCTCCTGATTCAGACGAGACAACTTCTCACTTGAGAAAGCAGTATTATGGGTAGAGGACTATTTTTTAGCTGTTAATTGATGGACTGGAGTTGTGTGGATTACTGTGATGTTTTTATCAGCTGTTTGGACCCTCATTATGACGGCACCCATTCACTGCAGAGGATCCACTGGTGAGCAAGTGATGTGATGCTAAATTTCTCCAAATCTGTTCTGATGAAGAAACAAACTCATCTATATCTTGGATGGCCTGATAGTGAATACATTTCAGCAGATTTTCACTTTTGGGTGAACTATTGCTTTAAACATAATGCAATGTGCATTACAAAATTCCCCATCTTACTAGTTCTGGCTCATTTTTGTTTATTTACTGGTAAAAGAACACCTTCTATTATATGAAAATAATATTCTTGAATATTCTATAAACATCACTGTCACAATATAATTTATGCAAAAATATTATTCACATTAGGCTACTTACAACATAATATAATAATGCAAATCATATTAATATCATTACATAATTTTACATTTAAGATATCTAGCTAAAAGCTTTGACTGACATTGAGCTGAACAGAAGAGGAAGCTATAGTTTAATGAAAGAGTCTGACTCAATACCTCGGCACTGGAATGTATTTGAGCTTTTTAGAGTTAAGGTCTGTCACTTCCAGGTAAGCAACAGTCATGGGTGGTGTGACATCTGTTGGTAAATCAATACCATCATCATAAGTAAAGCACCGTTATATTTGCTAATACATTTGTATATGATGTGTACATATGAGTGTGTCAGTGCTTTACCTTTGGGGTAGATCTCAGTCAGTGGGACTTGTGAAGGGGGCAGAGCTCGGACCACTTGATTAGCACTTAACAGACAGACACAGTTGACCCTCTTTGCTGGCCCGGTTTGCTTACTTGACCCAAAAAACATATCAGGTCCCCGACCCTCTGTTATGGGCGAAGATCTCGTAAAGCTGTACACTTCGTTAGGGGACTGTGGAAATACAATACAAAACATGTTATAGGTGTCAAGAGTATACATGATAATTTAAAAAAAATCCAGTTTAAAACACGTGCCATATTTTTTTGAGAAAAATTTACTATTTGTGTTGGATTCTTACAGTTTAAAAATGATTCAAATAATAATTTTAACATTTTGGTGTCATGTCATTTGGTGTTACCACCAATAAAACATATTAAAATATTTTCCTTACACCTTGAATACATGTGTGTGTATTAATTTTACAACTTTAACCAACCGTAGCAAGGTTTTCTTTTAAATTATTATAAGAGACGTTTTAATATTCTATTAAATAATTTATGCAAAAATATTCATCACATTAGGCTACTTACAACTAGTAACGCAAATTGTTAATACCATTACATAATTTAAATTATATAAAACATTTAAGACCTTAAGACATTTTAAGGCCTTGATTTAAAGAAAATCTAAATTAATATTTCAAAATGAATATGCACTTTAAAAATTCAAAGTTAGAAATTCAAAATTCAAAGTCGATACGCACTTCAAAAATAAAAAGATTTGGACAAGAAAAAGAGCATCATATCACTGATCTATAGAATTAAACTGTATTTTACGACGGAGTATGCCATACCCACCATGAGGTCTGGGAAGCCCACGATAACATTAGCATAGGTGTTAGTGTCACAGAGGATGCGGTTGGGAGAGACGATCTTCTGGCCCAGGGCAGTGCTGAGGTTCTCATTGGGCAGCTGCTCATTCGATACCTCCTGAGGAGCTGTGGCTTCCATCCCTGAAGAACAAAGACAGTCAGACCATCACTTCACTTTAAAATGACCCCCTGTAGAGATCATAATGTGTCCCTCATGACTAAAGCCATAAAAGGTTTTCAGAACATTTCTGCCATGACTCAGTGTGACATCTTTATACCCCAGTTTAATTGGTCATTATTCAGACCTTCTGGTGACATTCTGTCACACTCGATTTGATAAAGACCCCAATCCTGCTGATGGGAACTTTTGATGTCATCAAAAACATGCTCATTTTTCAGAGCAAATGCTGAAGCGTGTCTGACACTTTAGATGTACGATGCCCACTAAGTACAGGCATTAGTCTATCTTTATGACAGCGACATTCATCTCAATAACTGATACTATGAGTTATTAAGCGTCTTTCTGCTCTTCATGCTCCAGGAACAAGTGCTGAAGGAGAAATGACAAGGGGCACTTCATAAGAAGATAGAGCTGTGAAGATGTTTATCTTCCATAAACAGCATTTCATGGGATTTATAAACAAAGAGGCAGCAATTAATTTCACCTGCTATTTTAGGCCTTCAAAAACAAACTGGCATTACTTTCTATCAAATGAGGCGTGCAGGACTCACTGGCATCATCCATCAGGCCCTGAGAGCTTCAGCTCTCCTCTAAATGAGGTATTAACTCTGTTTTCATATTAGCTAAGAAACATTAATAATGAGTAGCTAGATTTTTAATCTTTTTAGATCAAAAATGGTGCTTCTAGCTCACATCATACGAAAAACAAAAACAAATATGAACATATTCATGTTTAAGTATGTAATGTATAAGCTTTGAGATATATATATATATATATACACACACACAGGTGCATCTCAAAAAAATTTGAATATCATGAAAAAGTTAACTTATTTCAAAAAGTGAAACTTTCATATATTCTAGATTCAGTACATGTAAAGTAAAACATAAAAAAAACATTTGTTTTAATTTTGATGATTAGAGCTTACAGCTTATGAAAGTAAAAAATCCAGTATCTCAAAATATTAGAATATTTACATTTGAGTTTCATTAAATGACCATCCCTACAGTATACATTTCGGGATATCTCTTGTTCTTTGAAACCACAATAATGGGGAATACTGCTGACTTGGCAATGGTCCTGAAGACGATCATTGACACCCTCCACAAAGAGGGTAAGTCACATAAGGGCATTACTGAAAGGGGTGGCTGTACACAGAGTGCTGTATCAAAGCATATTAAATGCAAAGTTGACTGGAAGGAATAAATTGGGTAGGAAAAGGTGCACAAACAACAGTGATGACCACAAGCTTGAGAATACTGTCAAGCAAAGCCGATTCAAACACTTGGGAGAGCTTCACAAGGAGTGGCCTGAAGCTGGAGTCAGTGCATCAAGAGTCACCACGCTCAGACGTCTTCAGGAAAAGGGCTACTTGAGGAAGACTGGAGAGGCACAGAATCCAATCTGCTTGAAGTCCAGTGTGAAGTTTCTGAAGTCAGTGATGATTTGGGATGCTGTGACGTCTGCTGGTGTTGCTCCATTGTGTTTTATCAAGTCCGAAGTCAATGCAGCCGTCTACCAGGAGATTTTGGAGCACTTTATGCTTCCATCTGCTGACAAGCTTTATGGAGATGCTGATTTCCTTTTTCAGCAGGGCTTTAGCAGCTGCCCACAGTGACTAAACCATTTCCAAGTGGTTTGCAGACCATGATATTACTGTGCTTGATTGGCCAGCCAACATGCCTGACCTGAACCCCATAGAGAATCTATGGGATATTTTCAAGAGAAAGATAAGAAACAGTGGATCCGAGCTGAAGGCTCAATAGTGCCTCAGCAGTGCCACAGGCTGATCGCATTCATGCCACACCTCACTGATGCTGGAGTTTGTGCTAAAGGAGCCCTGACCAAGTATTGAGCGCATAAATTAACATACTTTAAAGAACTTGAACTTTTCTGTTTTGCAAAACCTTTTTTTGATTGATCTTGGGAAATATTCTAATATTTTGAGATACTGGATGTTTTACTTTACATGTAATTAATCTAGAATATATGTAATTTTCACTTTTTGAAATAAGTTACAAAAAAAAAACTTTTTCACAATATTAATTTTTTTTTTTTAGATGCACATGTATGTATGTATATATATATATATATATATATATACATACATATGTTGAGATTGTGAATTGGTGGGTTTTTGTTAAATGTGAGCCAAAATCATCACAATTAAAAGAACCAAAGACTTCAACTACTTCAGTCTGTGTGCATTGAATTTACTTAATACATGAGTTTCACAATTTGAGCTGAATTACTGAAATAAATGAACTTTTCCACAACATTCTAATTTATTGAGATGCACCTGTATATATACTGTATATATATATATATATATATGTAGTGTTTGAAAGACATCTCATCTCTTATGCTCACCAAGGCTGCATTTATTTGATCAAAAATACAGTAAAAACGGTAATACTGTGAAATATTATTAAAATTGAAAAGGACTATTTTCTATTTGAATATATTTTAAAATGAAATGTATTCCTGTGATGCAAAGCTGAATTTTCGTGGAATTTTTGTGGAAACCGTTACACATTTCTTTAAGGACTTTTTGATAAATAGAAAGTTAAAATAATCTTTAGTATTATAAATGTCTTTACTGTCAGTTTTGTTCAATTTAATCAAATGTATACTTGAAAAAACATATTGACCCCAACTATTTGAACGGTAATGTAATGAATCATCTTTGGCTATTCCTCACAGCCTGAAGAGAAGCCCAGGAGTCAACGCTTCCTCTCATCCCAGCGGTCCCTGTCTTTGTTAAGGACTGTCAAACCTGCACACCTCCAGAGGCCTGCGATCGATGCTTCGGTGTAGTAGTAAGAGAGAGTAAGCTATGGTTACGTAACCCTGGTTCTGTGATAGCACCAGAGTGAGGAATCTCACCACACTTTCCTCCTGGCAGCAGCAGGGAGAAGAGACATGCTGAGAATGACACGACGACAGGTGGCAGCGGCTTATAACCGTTACTGTCTGTCAGCCGACAGGCGTAGTGTGTAATTGCTACTTCCGTGGACAGTCACGCTCTGAAGCAGAGGTACTTCACTCTGACGTATCCGAAATAACGTTTGGAGAAAACCCTCAGTCTAACTATGAGCAATAACAAACAGCATTTGTTCATTTAGCCCTGAGGAGAACTGGCATCTCGACTGTATTTCAAAGATTTTTTCTCCATTTCTGCCACCTGATAGAGTTTGGGTTTCTGGCTTGTGTCACCACTGGCTTGCTTAGTTAGGGACGGGGGTTTAAAAGATTAATATTTATAACTTAATATTCCGTATTGTTGATTTGAATGCACTGACACAGTATGGGATAAGAACAAAAATATGTAAACTAAACTGAATTTTATAGCTGAATCCAAGGGCCATTCACAAGGAATGCGTTTTTCCATACCACTACTTTTCACACTAGATGAACATGTTTGCCCATTGCGTTCTAAACACAAGGTGTTCAAGTTCAAATAAGTTCAACTTTTAAAAAAAAGCGTATCGAGGCCTTGTGTTTTTTCCCCATTCCACTGCTTACGTTCCACTGAAAAGCAAAAATGCATTTTGTGAATGGTTTCATAATGGATTGAAGTAAACTGAATCAACATTAAACCGACTTGAGGGGAATAAAGACACTATTGTCTTCTAGAGCCTGCTATGCAGCAGAATTTGAATTTGTCTCTTTTCCTGCTTATTACTGTGAAGCCACTTTGAAACAATCTCTATAGTATAAAGCGATATATAAATAAATATGACTTGATTTGACTAAATTATAAGTGAAAACATACACACCCACTAGGAGTGAGAATGTAGAGTGCAATGAGCCAATAGATTAATTTCGCAAACACAAGACATTTTTGAACACCAGGCAGCATCTGAGACCATATTTACTATGAAAGCCATCAAAGATGACACCAAGTTTATTCACGTGCAAAAGTCCTGATTCTGACAAAAGTCCGATTTAAAAATCCCCCAGGCTTCATGTCAGTCAAAGCAGATGTGAAACAGACACATTTGCCAAAGTAAGACAGATGGTGACTGACAAGTGTGAAGGGCTCTCAGTGGCCATGATTGGAAGGCAACATTGCAGAGTCACTTCTGATTGGGTGTTCTGGCCAATAAGTGATAAGAGTTGCTCACCTGAGCTGGTGCCAAAGCCAGTGTTAACAGCGTCTTCACTGATGGCATGCAGCTGGCACACTCCCGTGTCCTCTGCACCCATGTGCATGGGCTTTGTCAACAGGAACTTCCTGCACATGATGGTAGCACATTTTGTTAAAGACGTACCATCGGCTGAAGCAAATACGCTTATATAACCTCTAAAAAGGAAAACACCCTTTTCCAAGTCTGATCAATGTGTGCAATCAACTAAAACATGAAGGAATTCTTCTGATTTCATTGGCACCTGTCAGTCTTGCTCTCAACAAGAAGCCAGCGGTCTTCAGCCACCAGGAACACAGCTTTGAGATTGATGGGGAGGGAGATGGTGTGAACCTGACCTTCTAGCACATCAACAACATCCAGCTGACTCCTGTCCAAGTAGAGCAGAGTACAAATCAGTAGGCGGTGCCTGAACAGGACACCAGAGCTCTGATCCGAAACCTAATGAGCTGTTGGCAGTCTACAGCCTACATAGATATCTGCTTTCTAAGACAACATCCTAACTTAAAGGAATAGTTCATCCAAAAATGAAAATTCTGGCACCATTTACTTACCTTCATGTTGTTCTGAAATCATAAGACTTTCATTTTTAAATGCAAATGAATGTATTTAATATTCTTTTATCACTTTGTCCATCCATTGATTGATTGTCCACACAATCAAAATTTTCAAGCTTCAAAAAGTACATAAAGACATTGTAAAAGTAGCCTAATTCACACTGGTAATAATGACAGAATTTTCATTTTTGTGACTAACCCTCATAACTGAACGATTTGGAGAGCACTACATGAGATCTATTGGGATGGGACTAGTTTTCTAAAGGATGCTTGAGCTACAGCGCTATGTTTGAAATGTTTGTGATTTCATGTAACAAATCAGATGGGACAAATGACTTGTTCACACCAAGGATAATAACTGTAACAATAACTTAAAAAGTTTTAATCATCGTTCGTTTTTGGGAATAGTGAAATCACAGACTTTCGCGTTCGGACATCATGAGATTTCTAGAAGGCAGTTTGCTCTGGAATTTTTTTTACAGTGATTTTAATAAAATTGCAAAGTATGTCTGTGAAACATAAGATCCAACTCATGCAATTGACACTTATCACAAGGATGGAGCATATGGTGGACTTATGGTGGAGCATATGGTAGCATGTTTCTAAGTCCTCAACATGCATAGCATGCAAATATTGGGCAAAATTGTGTATTAATTAGACTAAACAATTATCTTGAATTTTTCTCAGTGCTTTTTATTTTTACACTTTGTCAGACATCTTATGCAGGTTTTTTGTTGAAGTGCATTCTGGAATTGATAAGAAACATGCATGTTGTCTTACAATTTGGACAAGAGATGCTTTGCTTTGCTTTGAAAATGAAAAACGCTACCAATATAGGCAGCTCACTAGGTTTCAGAACAGTGTGTAAGAGTGGCATATCACGCATAAAACTGAGGGAGAGTAACCTACCCGTTTTCTTTGTAGAAGAGAAGCCAGTTCTTGTGGGCAAACTCCTTGCACATTTTGTATGCTGGCTAATGACAACAAAAATATTAAGCTGAAGATGATTAGGTGTGATTGTACAATTTTACACAGCGTCCTAACCAGATACAAAGACACAATAAATGGTATAATTTCCATGTTAGTCAGTTTTTGTCCTAACCAGCCACAATAGTGATACACGACGGGCTACAGGGCTACATTCTAGTTTTGTAATGGTTTCTATTTCTGCAACATCGCAGCTGGGAACAAAAACTGTGCGTCCAGTGACACTAATAATCTAAGAACTGATTATATGCTTTGTATAATCTTAAAAGTGTTTAATTTGAATATCATTCGGTGTGATTTTAATAGTAACCCATAATGCAGAGTTTCCCAAACTAGGGTTGTGAAAACCTCAGGGTTCATGTGTGAGTTGATTATAATAATGCAAACTAAATGTAAAATAACTACAACTTGAAAATAAATCCTTACTCAAAAAGATTAATTATTTTGTCATGTGACCATTAACCAACATCAGAGAACCGTGAATGTGTTGTTAATTTATTTAAGTATTATCTTTAAAAACAAAAAAAACTGCCATATTGAAAGAGACAATTGATAATTATTCTCAGATCTTTAAATTAAATTGCATCACACCTGATTATTGGGAGATGGTTGGGAACACTGCAGAAATGATACTTTTAATGTGTGTTTTTCTAAAGCAGTGGTTCTCAAACTTTTTATCCATCCACAATAATATTTGAAGGCACAACACAGTTGATAAGGGTGTGAATTCAAATAATATTATATTAGTTTACTGCGGTCCCCTGGTTAAGAACGACGGATCTAAATGTAGATTTCCACCTGACTCTCTTTGTTGCTCCACCAGTTTGAGGTCTTGCGTGGTGGCTCCTCCTGTTTGTCCTGAGACAGGACCAGTCTCCTCACAGCACCGGTCACCAGGTCCAGATGCAGCACTGTATTTCCCTACAAAAACAAGACAGGAATGTGTTCGGTTCTGAAAAATAGGTCATATCATTTCATTCAATTCCCTGAGGTACACTTATGATGTTAGGTTAATGTCTAGGTTTATGTGCCAAGAACAGTCATAATTTAGTTTTACACAACCATTTTACAGCCATATCACCCTGCAGACCAAGACTGGTTGCCCACTGAAGCTAAGCAGGGTTGAGCCTGGTCAGTACCTGGATGGGAGACCTTCTGTGAAAACTAGCTTGCTGTTGGAAGTGGAAGTGAGGCCAGCAGGGGGTGCTCACCCTGTGGTCTGTGTGGGTCCTAATGCCCCAGTGTAGTGACGGGGACACTATACTGTCAAAAAGCACCGTCCTTCGGATGAGACGTTAAACCGAGGTCCTGACTCTCTGTGGTCATTAAAAATCCCATGGCACTTCTCGTAAAGAGTAGGGGTGTAACCCCGGTGTCCTGGCCAAATTGCTGCCACTGGCCCTTGTCTATCATGGCCTCCTAATAATCCCCATTCACTTGATTGGCTCTATGACTCTCTCTCCTCTCCACCTGTAGCTGGTGTGTGGTGAGCGCACTGGCGCCGTTGTCCTGTGGCTGCCGTCGTATCATCCAGGTGGATGCTGCACACTGGTGGTGGTTGAGGAGAGACCCCCACACATGATTGTAAAACACTTTGGGTGTACAGCAATACACAATAAAGTGCTATATACATACATCATTCATTCATTCATTCATTTCCATTATCTGACCCTGGCCTTTTTTACAGCTGTGCCTTTAAGATATCTAGATGTCCTTTTTACATATGATATGAATATTTTATGCAAGTATTATGCCAGCCTCCCGTTACCCTTCACAGGAAAGGTTGGCGAAGAAGTGCAGGTCTTAAATTCCCCCTCATCATTAAATCTTCAGGATAATGGCTTCCTTATGCCCTGGTTTTCACATACCGCATACTGTCTGTGTTATTAATAGAAGCCTTGCATCACTTCTGGACAGATGGTGGGTTTGGCTGAGACGGGCCGTTATGGTCACGGGCCACACTGTTCCATTCAGCCTTTGTTTTTTCTCCACTGGGAGAGCAATGACCCCTGGATGGCCGGACATCTGTATTTTTAGATTTCTTTTAGAAGTAATCACGTTCTCCACACCCCTTTTTCCACTGCTAACAGGTGTTTTAAGGTTTCTTCTTCCAGGCTCAACTTTTTTTCGAAGGAAATATCCCTTTAAAGTTATAGTATCAAAAACAGCTTTTGTAATTCTGATGCTCAGAGACAAAAATGGCTGTGTAAAACTAAATTGAAGGGACAGTTCCCCCAAAAACATTTTAATGAAACTTGAGTGATTTCAGTCCCTCCATTGAAAGTCTGTGCATTTAGGACGATTCTAAGGGCCCACGCACTTTTGGGGCCCCCCTCTTTTTTATTAGTAGTAACAGTAGTAGTAGTAATGTAATAGAAATTATAAATGTATCTACCAAAGAGTTACAAATAAAACAAAATTACGGCTTATTTCTGCATTTCCAGCAAAATTATCTCCCCCATTCACTGCATGGTTTCGTCCCATCCTACGTAGCCTAGAGTCACTGACTGAGATCAGATGGTAAACTGTCAAATTACAGATGTCTTCGAGTTCGAGGGGGGGGGGGCAAACCGAGCCGGACGATTTGGTCAGTCGCACTTTTAAACACATTTTAGTTTTGCTATAGAAAATCTACAAATTCATACTCTGATTACATAGAGCAGCAGCAGGAAGTGCGTGAGGTGGTCATGGAAACCAGATACACTGCAAGCGAATTATTATTTAATTATTTTGCCACCGTTTGCCACACTAAACTTAGCAATAAACACGTTGAAAATAATACACAATAAACATGTCTGTCAAAACTATCTCAAAGGAGGCTTTTATTAAGCAAATCAAGGAGTGAATTATTCATTCACTGTTTTAAAAAAAATACTTTAGCTGGTTTTCCACAGGCAGGCTCACATTTATCTACATGTACAAACCTAAAGGTTTTTGGGTTAAGGTTCATAATGTAGAAAATTTTTAACATTGTATGCTGTATGTGCATAGGTAGCTAGCAAACAAGGAATACAGCTGTTAAGCTAATGGTCACATTTAGCCAAGTAAGTTGGATATGTTGGAAATTGGAAATGTTGGATACTGCTGGAAATGCTGCTATGGGGTATCTTATTTATTATTTTAGGATTTTTTTTGTCTGCCCCAGTGAAGCATTTCTATTAATATAACTGATTAAGTAGTCAAACTCATTCCATATCAGCAGAATAGTGTGGTACAGAAAGTCTGTCCATAAAACAATTTCTGAATGAACTACTGTATGTTACTGATACCTAATGGTCAAAAGCAATAGCAAAAGTAATAGGTCAATATTATTAAATTGCAGACAAAGATTTTGAATAGCTAGGCTGGCTTGTACACTATATTGCCAAAAGTAATGAACAGGTTTGACTACTTTAGTAATTTCTAATTTCTCATATCAACCATATAATGCTATTCTAGGTTGTGTGCTTCTAATTTTATACCAATAGTTTGAACAGGACCATTTTCTATTCTAACACAACAATGCCTCTGTGTATAAGGCAAGGTTAAAAAAAAAATTTAATAAAAGATTGATTCTGTCAGTGTGGAAGAACTTGACTGGTCTGCAGAAAGCCAAGTCCTTATCCCAGCTGAACACCTCTGGTGTGACTTTAAATGCAGACCTTGAGCCAAAAACTCATCACCAAACACCAATGACTTGTACATACACATGGACAAATGTATCGGGACACCCCCTTCTTTAGAACAGAAAAAGGCACTTCCAAAACAGTGGCATCAAAGATAGAAACATAATTAATGTATTTAAAAACTGTATTTCCATATTTGTTGCCACAGTTTTGGAAGTGTCTAAAATGATTGTACGCATATATACAAGTCATTGGTGTTTGACGATGAGTTTTTTTGTTTGTTTTCCCAATACTTTGGGCAATATAGTGTATGTTTGGTGCGGTAGGGGGCCCAACCTCATATTCTTTCATAGGGCCCAAAATTGCTAGCGGTGCCCCTGCATATGGATAGAGTGATTTCAACCAAGTCATCTGAAGAGACACAATCGCTTTATATGACAAGATTAAATTTAGTCTTTTATTTACATATGAATACAGATCAACATGCATACATAGAGGACATCAAATATGATAAACAGAAGCTCAAATATGCTTGCGTAACATGAGAACAAACCATCAAGCAAGAACATTTGAGCTTCCGTTTATCATATTTGACGAGCTCTAGTATGTGCACGAATTACTTTACATTGTCTTTGTAAACTTTTTGTCAAAGTATTGGTTGTGCGGACTTTCTGAGGGAAATGAATCTCTCAGATTCCATTAAAAATATCATTTGTGTTAGGATGAACAAAGGTCTTGTGGAAAGACATGAGGGTGAGCAAATGATTTAATTTATGGGTGAACTATCCATTTAAGCGTGTTTTTGGTAAACCGTGATTTAGATATTATGTGTACTTAAAATCCGCTTTTAAAGGGGTCATATGATGCGATTTCAATTTTTCCTTTCTCTTTGGAGTGTTACAAGCTCTTTGTGCATAAAGAAGATCTGTAAAGTTTCAAAGACTAAAGTCTCAAATCCAAAGAGATATTCTTTATAAACATTAAGACTTGTCCACGCCCTCCTAAAACGGCTCGTTCTAACACGCCCCCACATGTCTACGTAACTGTGTGGGAAGATTTGCATAACGCCGCCCAAATGTTCACGCAAAGAAAGAAGGCGTAACTTTTATTCTCGCTGTAGTATTGATGTTGCCGCCGCCATGTTGTGGAGATGCTGTGTGTTTCATTGTGAAAGCGAGTCTTCCAAAAGAGGATGATATCTGCATCGTCATGCCTGGAGCTGATCCGAGCTGGTCGCTGAGGGAATACATCAACTTCGCGCTGTGGATTGCCGGATCGGCTTTCACTGTGGACGAAGCAGAGTCCAGCCCGGGTCGTCACATGTGGTTGCCGCACACCCGCTCCTTCGTCGAATCCGCTGTTCTCCGGCCTCCGCTCACTCAAGCCCGTTGTGTGTGACGCTGTGTGACGCATTTTATGGAAGACTGTTTCCTGAACCTGCAGAGTAGCATACAATGGGTCTGTGCTCAAAGGCTGTTCTATAAAGTGGGGCAGTTCCAACTTTGCAAGGACAGTTTGGCGCTTCTGACTCACAGCCTGTAAGTAAATGTTTTATATTTAAAGAATTTGCCACTGATGATTCAAATGCGAGGAGCTCTTGGTGTTTGTCGTTTCTCTGATCACAAATGCAGACATGGTTTTATGTTTACACGGTGTGATACGCAACGCATAAAAACACAGTATAAATCATTATAATCAGTAATTATGTCCCCACTGGATGCAACAAATGCCTCATTTGTAATGAGTTTTATTGGTTTTGTCTCGCCGTGCCGGGAGACGGCATCACAGTATGTTAAGGGGTGTAACATTTCCGTCACATGCTTGAGGTATTCGGCCAATCACAACACACTGAATAGCTGGCCAATCAGAGCACACCTCGCTTTTCAGAACGATGAGCTTTGTAAAAATCGATGCGTTTCAGAAAGGTGGGGCATAGAGGAGCAACAATAATGTACATTATGGGGAAAATAATGTGCTTTTTAAACCTTAAACCGCATAAACACATTGCATTACACCAAATACACAACATAATGTCCTTTTTAGCAACATCATATGACCCCTTTAAATCTTACAAAGGTTGCCATTTAAATTTTAACTAAGGATAAACAAAGTCTACACTCTAAAAAAATGCTGGATTATTTTTTTTCAACCCAAATGCTGGGTTCAGCCTGTTGGGTCATTTTATTGGGTTTTTATTTTTACTCAGGTGCTGGGTTCAGCCTGTTGGGTCGTTTTTTTGGGGTCATTTTTTATATTTTTTACCCAGGTGCTGGGTAGTTTCTCTGTACCTAAGTTGCTGGGTTATTTTTTTTCCTACCTAACCGCTGGTTTGAGCCTGTCTCTGACGAAACAACCCAGCTGCTGAGTTACAATCAGAGCACGGGCTTTTTGAGTGCTCTACAGGAGAGAGCGATTCTCAGTGCTGTCGCCGATTTAGTGCACTTCTTCAGCTAAATAAAAGGTTTGTATATACGTTTTATTTCCTTTATAAAGTCTTTACTGTGCTGTAAATTATATTATTATATGCAACACAATGTAAGGACGAGTCAGTCAGCTGCGTCAGCAGCGGTCATGATGGAAACCCTTTTGCCTTGCATAACATAAATGGATTTTATTCGTTATAATACAGAGTTTAATTTAATTTGATGTTAAAATATGTTCTCTAATCTCAGTACTGTTTGTTTATGGGCAGGTTTTGAAGTCAGTCACGGCATCTCTCAGCTACGAGTGAAACGCGAGGCCGTGGTCTAAAGTTCGCAGTTCTTCACCGGCTCCGATTTCAGCGACACATCGGCACGAGAATTAGCACTATAGCGGTAAAAAGAGATCACAGAGAACGGTTGAATACACTTAAATTAAAATGCTACTTTTAAATGTTACATTTATTTCTTAAAATGCTTGTTAATTGAGTTTAAATGTATGTTTAAATATTGTAAACTATGCTGTATTCACCCAAATAAAATCAATTTTGTCCATGTGTTCTTGATTAATAAATGTTCATCTTTTGATTATTGCTGTTGCCTATAGTAATTCTATGTGTGATTTTTAATTTCCAGCCCATTTTAAGGCAGTAATATAATAATTTTTAAACAATAGTTGACTTAAAGGTGCCATAGAATGCATTGATACAATATTTTAAATTGTTCTCTGATATCTACATAGAAGGTATGTGGCTTAGGTAAGGGCAAAAAAATCTCCAGAAACGGTTTTACATGTCCATTTACAACCCTAGGATTTGTCCCTAGAATAAAATGATCTGTTTTTACCTTATTTGGAAGGGTCATGAATAATAATGTAGAGCTCTGCTCTGATTGGCTGTTTTACAGTGCCGCTCAATGTTGAGCTCTGCTCTGATTGGCTGTTGCACAGTGCGGCTCATTTCAGTAGCTCACACAGCAGGAAGGAAACACAGGGAAAAATATATATTTCAATATTGTCTCTCGCAGTTATATCGTTGGGTAATTATACTGTATCTAAAATGCGGGCATCAGGGAGCCGCTATTAATAAGCGGGGCATTGAAACTGCTTTCGAATCGCGTTTTACTTTCACTTTCGAGATTTGCGGTCGCACGTGCTCTGTGTAAACTACAGCGGCAGTACTTACCACACATTTTACAAGATCAGATGCTTGTCAGTGGTGCTCAGGATTTGTAAATCATTCGCCATCATCCTCAGTCATCTCTCCTTACTCTGTTTATGTGAAGATTTGGCTGTGCAGGTCCAGCTGGCGGCTGGCATAGAACATGGGTGGGTATATGCAAATGTTGGGGGCGTAACTATTAGTGATCCCGACTGTAAAGTCACAGTTGGTGTTATGTTCTGATTCGCCTATTTTTCAGTGGTCTTTTGCATGCACGAGATTTACATAAAAAGGAGGAAACAATGGTGTTTGAGGCTCACGGTATGTCATTTCCATGTACAGAACTGTTATTATTCAACTATGCCAAGGTAAATACAGTTTTCCATTCTATGGCACCTTTAAATAAAACAACCCAGCATGTTGTGTAAAAACATTAACCCAACCAGCTGGGTTAAAGGCCTATGTTTTTGTTTGTTGTTGTCTCATACTTTTAGATACGCTGTTATTTGTAAATGCTACTGCTTATGTTAGCTTTTAATATACGGTTTTATCCCGATTAAAGCTTTAATACAGTACGGCAACTGCACGCACGTCCATGTTTAACGCTTCTCATAGCTATGTGAAAATAAGTGTATAATTGGAACAGTTCACTGTTGGAGCTGAGCTGAATGAGAGAGCGATAGCGAGAGAAAGAGATGCAGAGCAGCGGACGCGAGGAACAGTATTAAGAACTGCTGCTTTAGAACATTGATTTTGAAACTTGTGAATCCATTAGAATCGTTAGAAGACAGAATCGCGATTCATATTTGAATAGATTTTTACGTGCACCCCTAGTTTTCTCTTCCTCTTCTCTAAAGCAGCGCAGCATGGCCTCACCCCTTTGCTGCCTTTTCCCGAGGGCGGGGCTTATCTGGGTTTGTGATGTCACGAACCCGGGAAGTAACTCGTTGTAGTCCCTACCAGCCGTTTTTTTGTAGGCATTAAACTGCCAGAATTTTAAAAGACGATATCTCCGTTTGCATTGAACTTTCAGTTTTGTAACTTTGCAGATATTGTTTATGTTCAAACAGCAACATTACACACTAACTAATGTTAAAAAAGTGAAATCGCAATGAACCACCCCTTTAAAAAAAAACAAATGGTATTATTGCACAAACATCACATCTCATCTACTATGGCGAATCTATTAGCTCAAACTTGTTTTGATCTGTGACCATTTACTATTTCCATCCGCTATTATTAGACATTGTTTTCCCCGTATGGGTTTGGTGGAAAAGATGCATCTATTGATGATCCGTGCTCAGATAATAACAGCATGTCTCAGATGAACCTCAGGGCAGGAATGACACCTATAAACGGGTCGTAATGGCAGCAAGTGGACGGCAAGGCTTTCATGTGAAGTGCCCGTGTAGAAGAGCGGGTTCACACACACACACACACACACACACACACACACCTGTTCTTCATGGAGCACCACCTGGTCCTGCAGCGGATTGCCCAGTGCCGCCACAGAGACAAAAGGCTGCCAGACTCCACTGATGGTCCGGGGGAAGAGGTCATAGAGCTCAATGCACTGGACGGAGTCTCCTTTCTCCTTCATAGCATACAGCGATACAGGGTTACATGTGGCCACATAAATGGAATCTATGAAGGAAAACAATGATTCACTTTCAAAATAAAAGCCACAAGACTTTATATTTCCACATTCATTAGATCTTAGATTTGGCTACATGAGACTGTGATAGCAGATACCGTTAGCAGTGATGACGTCGCAGACGATGTTGACCTCGTTCATGGGAATCTGCCAGTGAGCCTGTTCCTCGGTGAAGCTCATAGATCTGGACTCGTGCCTCTCAGAAGGATAACTCTGAACCCGCAGAAACACAGGGCCCTGAGGAGAACCACAGACATCAAATTAGTGTTATATGCTAATAACAATTTTGAAATATTGGAAATAGAATGGGTTATGATACCTTGACATCTATCCGATGGGACTCTGTTGGACACAGCAGCTTTCGTCGTGTACTTCCACCCTGATTGATGGTCCAGTAACCCGCCATCTTACAGTCTGGCAATGGTAACCTGGGAAAGGGGAATTGGGTGATTGGCTTTTTGCCAAAGACATGACATTTAAATCTTATAATGATTATGACAACATGTTGATCATGAAAACACCTTAAACGGTGTTGTTTTATTGGGTTAGGCAAAAAGTTGACCGGTACACCTAGATTTTTTGCCATTTCAAAATCTTGGTTTACATGCACAACACCTTCATGAAAACTTGGACTTAAATTGGAAAATGATGTGCATGTAAATGGTGGTCACTGCTTCATTCTGCTGTCTCTGTAGTAGGGCTGGAGCTCATTGATATTCAGGAAGGTTGTAGTTTCACATCTGGTTATTGCTCGGTTACTATTCCCAGAGAAAACATTACCGCACTACTCTGCAATTGAAGCAGATGGGATGACATATCATTCCCCTCAAGATAAAATATTAATGCAATACAGCAGAAAAACACTTTTAATGTAACTCATCAATGAAAACTTTGGGGTCAAAAGGATTTTTTTTCTCTTTAGAAAAATATTTGTATTCATGGATGCATGGAATTGATTAAAAGTAACAGCAAAGACATTTATAATGTTACAAAAATATATCTAATTCACATAAATGTTGTTCTTTTGAAAGTTCTGTTCTGTTAATCAAATAATCCTGAAAAATGTATCATGGATTCCAGAAAAATATTAAATAGCTATCCTGTTTCAACATTGATAATAATAATGCATAATGTTTCTTGAGCAGGAAATCAGCATAATATAATGATTTCCGAAGGATCATTTGACACTGAAGACTGGAGTAATGCTGCTGAAAATTCACTTTGCATCACAGGAATATATTGTACATTAAAATATATGTTTAAAGTTGTACAAATATTTCATAACATTACAGTTTTTACTGCATTTTTAATCAAATAATTGCAGCCTTGGTAAACAAACATTTAAACGTTCAAATAATAAGGTGATTATATATAGAAATATAATTCAAAAGGAAATATTTGTTTCTTCCCTTTTTAAAGTTTTCCAGTATTTTTTATAAAATATAACAAACCGTGTATACCAGATGGCAAAACACTCAAAAGCAAGTGAAATAAGACAAATATGAGACGGAAGAAACAAATAATTTCCTTTATTGAAAGTGTATAATATACAACACTGAGCAAATGAAATGACTGCTATTGAATGAGAAATATATTTGTTGTTATATAATGCGGAAGACTTAACTCTTGATAATCAGATAAAGTGCACATTCCAAACTGTGGAAGGTCACTTGGACAGATGGGACATGGACGCCACAAAAAGGGCCGTTCCAGAGGAAATGGTGTTGTTTTTAACTGCTCCCTTCACCATGTCGGTTACAAACAACCACACAGTTGTCTCCAGATTTCCCACCTCAAGTGCTCTGCTCTATGAACGAACTGGGTATAGACATGCTCACTTCCGATTGGAATTTGCCCAAAATCTTTCATATCTTTTAAATGCATTGACCAGACACTGACAATCAAGTTTTCAGTTTAAGTTATTCCAGTAAGAGTCCAAGTAAGTTTTGCTGTTTACTAAATTCAAGCATGTTTAGGGTTTTGTCTATTGCACATTCAATGAAATGAGCTTATGAGATAAAAGCATCTGTTAAAGGTGAAGTTTGTAATTTATGCGATACTAGAAACCAAATCGCTGTTTATCTGAACAGTCCGACTGGGCCAAACATAACGGCACTAGCTCAACCAATGGCGTGAGTTTGGGGCAGGACTACCTCAGTGTCTCTTTTGCTGCAAAAATTGCACACTTCATCTTTAAACAAACACATTTGTTCAAGTGTATGGTTTGAGGATCAAGCAGAGCCGATCCCTTCAACAGGTAGTTATATAAGTCCAGGACAGTGTGTCTTATTAGAGAACGTGCATGATATTTGTTCATGATACTGCATTCACGGACAGTAAAGGGCAATAGGAGCTGAGCTCTTACTCCTTGGCCAGGTGCACGCTGGTGGGTTTGGCTCCGATGGGAATGCCGTGCTTGTGCAGCGCTGTGATCAGTACCTCACGCATGTCCTTGTTATAGGAGTCAAAGTCAAACACATTCCTCACCACGTTGGCCAGGCCCTCTTCTGGAAATTTCTGAGAAAAAAAAAGGAAAGAAGTAAGCAATAAGACAAAAGCGTTTAGTCGTAATGATACAATATTAGGAGCACTCTGATCTTGCCATCAATCACTACCATTGAAACATCATAAAATAGAAATAGATCAATTATCTACGAATAGTTTCCGTTTCATTTGAGAAGTGTGAATTTAAACTGAATCGGCCACAACTTGCAGGATGTTATACTGCAATTCAAAAGAAATTCAAAGGAATTAAGTTTAGCGAGGAAAAAAAACAAATGAACATGATTTTTTGGCTAATAATTCAAACATTTCTGGTCTAAAAATTAACAGAGCCATTAAAATATACTTTACTGCAATAAACAACAAAACTGATCTTTTTTTGCAGTCTCACTTCTGAATTGGGATTTTTTTAAACATTTTTAAGTGACTCCAGAACGGCACACAACGTGCCTATGGTTGGACATTATATCACTGTCAACATTATTGGTTTTTAAGTCTTTACAAAACCACTGGTTTAAGCAGAGATGCATTTTAATTAACACATGTAACTGCCCCTCGCTCACTGGAGATCACAGTCAGTGAGCTGCATTGCACAAGTCAGCCTGGCCAAATGAAATCCTATGGATTTTCTGCTCGCAGGTGGCTGCAAGGTCACTTTTTGTTGAAGATGTTCTTGAGTCTTTCAGGAAAGCTGCCTGTTTCACAACTAGCTTGTTTTACCACCTATTAAACATGTTTTTGGTTTAATGATGAGTCTTTCTGGAAGGTTTGTTTTCTTTGTTGAAGCTTCTTTTTGTGGGTAGGAGGTCATTTTATGTGATCTGCAGTTTTCAACCAGGGTTCCCATGGAAGATGAGGCAGCCTGATTTTAAAAGTGTGATTTCCACACCTAGAAAATTCATGTAAAAAATAATACAATCTTAAAATGCCACAGGCATTCTTATACTGAATATACATTTTCTAGTTATGCCAAGATCTAAAATATCCATTGGGAAGATTGTCGATACATATTGCAAACCCTTACTTATGGGATGATATTAGACTCTAAATGATTAATAGACGCACGCACAATTATCCATGTACTGCATACATTTTTGCTGCTATATGCATCAGACGGTCTGTGAATGGACTATATGTGTGCCATCTGAGGTTAAAGGGATAGTTCACCCAAAAATGAAAATTCTGTCATTAATTACTCACCCTCATGTCGTTTCAAATGCGTAAGACCTTTGTTCATCTTCTGAACACACATTTTTTATTAAATCTGAGAGCTTTCTGACAGACAGCAATGCAACTACCACATTCAAGGCCCAGAAATGTAGTAAGGACATCGTTAAAATAGTCCATGTGACATCAGTGATTCAACCTTAATTTTTTTTATTTTATTTTAAATAGCAATAGTTATTCAATGATTTCTTCTCTTCCGTGTTAGTCTTCGATGTGTGTTCTGTCTATGGAGGGACAGAAAGCTCTCAGATTTCATCAAAAATATCTTAATTTGAGTTCCGAAGATGAACAAAGGTTTTACGAGTTTGGAACGACATGAGAGTGAGTAATTAATGACAGAATTTTCATTTTTGGGTGAACGATCCCTTTAAGTCTACCAGCTGATTTACCTGCAGGTGTTTTACGATGTTGACCACTTCTCGTGTAGAGTAGGGGTAGGTGATTGTTCCCTGGTCAGCCATGGCCCGGAGCTCTCCGAATGCAGCCACCAGTTTCTGGAGGATTGCATCAGGAACGTCAGGCCCATATTGCTTCAGCATGGCAAACTCAGCCTGAGGTTTGGGGTTGTCCACTGCATGGCAGCTAAATATGTCCCCTGGAAGAGCAAATCGTCAAATCATCAAAATGATTTCAAACAGCATTACATAATTATTGTAACTGTGTTACAGTGTTTTGTGATATCCTCATTGACTCTGATTGGTCAATCATGGCATGCTGTGGTCAAATATTTTTAATGCTATACTGTATAATATACAAGTCTTACCAAGTGCTCCAAAGAAGTCATTTCCCAAAAACGGAAAGCCAGGTCGGTTTGCTAAAACAATCATACGAAAGTCTGGATGCATGGGAATGGCATTAGGCCTTCCGGCTGCTTCCAGTGGATCTGTGGAAAACAAAGAACGATTCCTGTTTTAAAGACTGTCAGTGACGGGTTTGTGACATGGAGTGTGTTTGATCTTCTCTGTCCATTTCACCTGACACTATTCTTCTTCCATCTGCCAGGATCATCTCTCCACTCTCCACCAATGTCTTCAGGATACAGGTGACATTTGTGGGAGCTTTATCAGCTTCATCTATTACCAGGATATGACCCATCTTCACAGCTTTAACCTTTAGAACAACAGACGAGAGCACATTTTTATTCCATTATTTCATTCTTCCATCAAGTTCAATTATGTTAGCCAATGCTTCTTGCACCAAAAACAGGTGTAAAGTATTTTAAAACAACCATTTTCTATCTTCAGGCTACTTCTACACACTACAGTTTTGGGTCAGTATGATTTTCGTTTTTAGAAATCAATACTTTTATCCAGCAAGGATCCTTTAATTAGATCAAGTGACAGTAAAGACATTACAGTTGCAAAATATTTTATTTAAAAAAAAAAGCATATTGGAAAAAATGTCTCACGGTTTCCATAAAAACATTAAGCAGCAACTGCCGCTCACCTGAAATACACTACCGTTTAAATTTAGAGTCAGTAAGATTTTTTTTTTTTTATACTTTTATTCAGCAAGTATGTATTATATATGTCTTTACTATCACTTTTGATCTATAAAAATAAAAAAAGATTTGTATTTCAAATAAACGCTGTTATTTTGAATATTCTATGCATCAAATGATCCTGAAAAAATGTTTTGCATTATAATTTCTAAAAAAATATTCACTTGTTTTCAACTTTGATAATAATAAGAAATGTTAACTTGAGCATCAAATCAGCATATTAACATGATTTCTGAAGGATCATGTGACACTGAAGACTGGAGTAATGAAGCTGAAAATTCAGCTTTGACATCATAGGAATAAATTACATTTTAAAATATATTCAAACAGAAAATGTCTATTTCAAGCTGCAATAATATTTTAAATTTTTTACTTTTATTTGATCAAATAAAAGCAGCCTTGATGAGCAAAAGACACACCTTTCAAAAGCCTTTTAAAAATCCCACAGAACCCAAACTTTTGAACGGTAGTGTACCTTTAAGACTTTTATATGTAAATTACCTCTCTTTTGATTGGCTAAACTCTTGGATGTGAAAACGACTGGACGATTGTTTAACATCTTAAAGAAAACAACCAACGTTTTGCAACAACCAACCCGAACTAAAATATTTTATATAAAATCTTTACATTTAATTTAGTAATGTTAACTCCTATGATGTTGCAAAAAAACTTAAATTAATTGAATGGAATCAGATCATGACTTGCTGAACTGAAATCAATCTGAATCCTGGGACACCAAAAGATTCCCATACTGAAAAGGTGCTGATATACAGATGTCAAACAAAACAGCTTGGTTTCCACGCTTTCCTTTTCCCATATTTGAACCACTGCACTCCATCTCCAGATCATCTTTATTTCAAAACAGCAAAGAGAACCGGAGTTAATGGAGAGCTGAAGATTACAGCCGTGTTCAGTTGTTTTCATCACCTCTGACATGTAGGTGACATTAGTGCCTGTTATTTACAACCCAGAGCTGAAAGGTGGTTTGCGGAGAGCGAGGGGTGCTTTCTTGTTGCTATTATCCGTGAGCCTGGCACAATGCGAGACCATTTGGAAGCATTGATATCAGATGAGGCGTCAGAAGGGGCTTCAAAGCCTAAAGACTATTTATACCATGAGAGCTGCCGCTGGGTGCTAATTGAGGGGCCAAACTCCAAGTCACAGCCTGCTTTTCATCTCCCTCCTCCTTGTATCGAGTAGAGACATCGTTAAAAGCCTTTTGTAGAGAACACCCGCGACCCTGCTTCACAAACAACGCGTCTAAATGGCACTATCACGCTAACAAAACAACAGGCCGACTTCAGAAACGAGCAGCGTGGAGGATTATAACACACTGTCCTTGAGGTCATTCATTAATTTTTAACGCTTTTTCCCTCATCTGTGCCGGGGCGTCCTCTGGGTGTGAGCTGGCAACGTGTTTGTCCTCGCTGGAGCAGTGGTCTGGACCATCTGCTGATAGATGTATAAATATCACTATGCAAAGTTTACACTTCACCTGACTGATTTTCAGGAGATCACAGGACACCCAGAACCACTGAGGTGGTCAATCTTACATTTATGTTTGGCTCTTCACATTATGCTTTGAAATGTGGCTGATTTCAGATTTGGACATGGTCCTGAACTGACTTGTTTGCGCAAAAGAAAGCATGCAACACGCTGTCATACGGAAAGCCACTGAAATTAGTGTTTACACATTCATTTGTAGTGCCATGGGAACCAGAAAATGTGTGCACAGGCAATAAGGAGGACAAAGACCAGGATGAGGAGATAATATTTAAATACACTATTCCAAACTGTTTCTATAAAATTAGAAGCACACAATTCCCTGGCCTAGAATATCATTATATGCTTACACATTAAGATTTGTACTCCTGGAAATTACTAACGTAGTCAAACCTGTTCATTAGAAGGGGGTGTCCCAATACTTTTGGCTATATAGAGTATTTACAATACAATCCCTCAAGTTATGCTTGTACAGAGCTGTTGCCGTAATACTTATACCTCACTGTTTCTCCGCTGACTACCATCACGCCCATCTTCCATATTAACTGAGTGACCAATTAACTACTGGTATGTGAAAACTTTGGAGTGGCTCCCATCAGAATAGTGACAAATGTCCATCTAGAGTGACGTAAAAGTTGCATGAATTGCAAAACATCAATCATGCATCTGATTTAGTACCACACATGAAAGTGACCCAAATCAGTGGCCCAAATTGTGCCGTTCCCGCTGTTATAAGGGGGGAAAAAACAGATATGGGTCACATGAAAGCACATTTTTCCCCCCTGCAGTCTGAACGTAAGGGAAATGAAACCTCAACTTCATGTCATACAAAAACAGCTCCTCATGTAAAGCGTAAAAGAGATGGAATTGATTCCAGTAGAGATCTGTGTTAAAGTGCCGTCACATCAGCACCAAAAAACAGTCCACTGTCTATAGTCAATAGCATAGCTATGTATAATACACAACTCTCACAGAATTCACTTGCAAACCAAGGAAGTGGAATCTGCATGTGCAACTTTTTCGACGTGTGAAACTCCCAATTGCGCGGTTTCCTACTGGAAATTTTCACCAAGCAAAAGTAAATGTGACTGCACCTTTAGTATACTCTTAAGTGTTTATTGAATGAAATATATGGTGCAATGCATTCTGGGATTGCCTCTTCCTCCAGGTTCTTAGAACAAGGTTTTCAAACTAGGGTCAAAGACTCTATATATAAAACGGTTCACTTGTATTAATGTGAATGGGAGAAATATATGTGACCCTGGACCACAAAACCAGTCATAAGGGTCCATTTTTCTATTTTTTTTCCTGAATAAATAAGCTTTCCATTGATGTATGGTTTTTAGGATTTTTCAAACTAGGGTCAAAGACTCTATATATAAAACGGTTCACTTGTATTAATGTGAATGGGAGAAATATATGTGACCCTGGACCACAAAACCAGTCATAAGGGTCCATTTTTCTATTTTTTTTCCTGAATAAATAAGCTTTCCATTGATGTATGGTTTTTAGGATAGGACAATATTTGGCTGAGATACAACTATTTGAAAATCTGGAATCTGAGGGTGCAAAAAAACTAAATATTGAGGAAAATCGCCTTTAAAGTTGTCCAAATGAAGTTCTTAGCAATGTATATTACTAATCAAAAATTAAGTTTTGATATATTTACTGTAGGGAATTTACAAAATATCTTCATGGAACATGATCTTTACTTAACATCCTAATGATTTTTGGCATAAAAGAAAAATCTATAATTTGCTACAAATATACCCGTGACTTAAGACTGGTTTTGTGCTCCAGGGTCACATACAGTGGGTACGGAAAGTATTCAGACCCCCTTAAATTTTTCACTCTTTGTTATATTGCAGCCATTTGCTAAAATCATTTAAGTTAATTTTTTTTCCTCATTAATGTACACACAGCACCCCATATTGACAGAAAAACACAGAATTGTTGACATTTTTGCAGATTTATTAAAAAAGAAAAACTGAAATATCACATGGTCCTAAGTATTCAGACCCTTTGCTCAGTATTTAGTAGAAGCACCCTTTTGATCGAATACAGCCATGAGTCTTTTTGGGAAAGAGGCAACAAGTTTTTCACACCTGGATTTGAGGATCCTCTGCCATTCCTCCTTGCAGAGCCTCTCCAGTTCTGTCAGGTTGGATAGTAAACGTTGGTGGACAGCCATTTTTAGAGACATACCTCTCTCACCAAGGCTCTTCTCCCCAGATAGCTCAGTTTGGCCGGACGGCCAGCACTAGGAAGGGTTCTGGTCATCCCAAACGTCTTCCATTTAAGGATTATGGAGGCCACTGTGCTCTTAGGAACCTTAAGGGCAGCAGAA